GCGCCCCGCCCACCCCCGCCCGGCCCCCGCGCGGCGCGCACCGCCCACCCCCGCGCGGCCCCCGCCCGGCGCGCACCGCCCACCCCCGCCCGGCCCCCGCGCGGCGCGCACCGCCCACCCCCGCGCACCCCCGCGCGGCGCGCCCCGCCCCGCCCACCCCACCGCCCACCCCCGCGCCGCTGCCCCGCCCACCCCCGCCCGGCGCGCACCGCCCACCCCCGCCCGGCGCGCACCGCCCCGCCCCGCCCACTCCTCCAATGGCAGCCTCGGACGGCGACGGCGCACGCAGCTATTGGCCGACGCCCAGGAGGCGCGGCGCGGGGCCACGGAAGACTTAACCCGCCGAGGTGCTGGCACCGCGCCAGGAAAGCAAGCGAGGCCCCTTTGCTCCTGTTTTCTCACTTCTGACCTTGCAGGGTGAGCGGTGTCGGCGTCACCTGAGTGTTTTCGGGTCCCCGAGCTCGCTTCTCCCCGTTAGGCCCCCACAGCTCGTTAAAGTGTTAAGCCCTCCGGTTACGTTTTAATTTATGATGACATACTCTCAGCAGCTGTTTCAATAGGAGGGGGGAATAGAGTGCATATTAATAGCGGACTTTACTGAACAATGAAGAATTGTTTTTTTAATTTTATTTTATGTTTGTTTTAAGTAGTTTTTTTTTCATTTTATTTTTAAGTAGGCTCCACATCCAAGGTGAGGCTCGCCTGAGTGGAGTCCCAGGCCTCACCGACCCCGTCTTTTAAGTAATTTCTACACCCAGTATAGGACTGGGACTCAGAACCCGGAGAGCACGAGTCACTTGTTCCAGCGACTGGGCCAGCCAGGCCCCCCCCGCAATTAAAAAGAATGCTATTAATCCTTGGGCCCCTGGGGGGGTGGCTCACTCCGTTTAAGCGTCCGACTCCGGCTCAGGTCATGATCCCGCGGTTCGTGGGTTCGAGCCCCGCGTCGGGCTCTGTGCTGACTGCCGGCTCGGAGCCTGGAGCCTGTTTCAGCCTGTGACTCCCTCTCTCTCTGACCCTCCCCCGCTCGCGCTGTCTCTCCCTCTCTCCTAGAAATAAATAAAACATTAAAAAAAAAGATATAACTCAGAAAATCAAACAGCTGCTTTGGCCTAGTGCACAGGTCAGAGCCGACAGGCACAGAAGGGGCCGGGCGGTAAAGGGTGAACAGGGTGTAACAGTCAGTGTGCAGCGCCTGGTGCAGGGCTGTTCTTTCTCAGTGGCATCCACTTACTCTTCACACACACACACACACACACACACACGCAACAACAACAAACAGTGAATTCTGGGATATCCACATCCGGGGAAATTCAGACACAGAAGTTCCACAACGCGTCCAGGGTCACGGGCAGTTACTGACCAGCTGCAACTTGACCCTGGGCGGTGTAGCCGCGGGTCTGCGCTCGAGGCTGCAGGTTCCGCCGCCGCCAGGCCTGCCCGGAGGAGGCGCGGCCACGGCCCGAGCGGGCAGGCCCGCTGCCAAAGGGCCCGGGGAGAGTTGGGGCAGGACGAGAACCTTAGGCCCAAGCTTCGGCCAACAGCTACTTTTCCAAAGTAAACTTCCAGGTAAGTAAGAGCGTGGGCCGCCGGGCTGGCTCAGGCCGTGGAGCAGGTGACCCTCGGTCTCCGGATCCGAATCCCAGCCCCACGTTGGATGTGGAGATTTCTTTTTGTAAAAATAGTGGGAAGGAAAGCAGCTTCATCACTAATGTGAGCAGCCAGCAAAACTGTAGTTAATCGTTTCACTTAGGATTCTAGGAGTTGAGGGGTGTTGGCCTGTGCGGGTGGCTCTTATCTCAAGGTCATGAGCTCGGGCCCCACAGGGGGGTAGGGCTTACCAAAAAAAAAAAAAAAAAAAAAAAAAATTAGTTAAGACCTGAAGGCTTACATAGACTAGGAATGAGAACTTTCCAGGCATAAGGCACGGCTTATTGAAAAGAAAAATCCTAGGGGCGCCTGGGTGGCTCAGTCTATTAAGTATCCGAGGTCGTCGGCTCAGGCCATGATCTCACCGTGAGTTCGAGACCCACATCGGGCTCTGTGCTGACAGCTCAGAGCCTGGAGCCTGCTTCAGATTCTGTGTCCTTCTCTCTCTGCCCCTCCCCCACTCATGCTCTGTCTCTGTCTCTTAAAAATAAACATTAAAAAAATTTTTTAAAAAACCTAGGCAATTTGAGAATTCAAGATTTTGTATAGGAAATGAGAGAAATGCCTGCAAAAATCATTGTAGCACTCGAGTGGTCTACACTTGGTGCAGTGTAGACTCCCACATAAAACTAATTCTGGTCTTCATCTACATTTGTCAGATAATAGTGAGTGGCCCTGAGACGACCCCAATCCCAGCCTCCCCCACAGCCCAGCCACAGGGGAGTGTGACAGGGGAGCCACCACACACACAGTAAATTCTGTGTTGTGAGAGTAGATGTGAGCTCCCCGATTGAAGCCAGCTTGTCCAAACCTGCAGCCCACGTGAGCACTAGAGGTTAAACCGAAGACTGAGGCTGTAGCCTCCTCACAGAAAGTTCTGGGGATCCACAAAACCCTAAAATATCCAGCGGGGCGAGTCGCCTCTTGTAGCCGTGAAGAGAAGAGCAATTAGCCGACCTCCAACTGTGTTGCCCTTTTTCTTCTTTTCTGGGGAAAAGGACCTCGCAGTACAAGGCAAGGTGGGTGTGAGGCAGCCCAGGACGACAGGAACGCCCAGGACAGAAGCCCTGGAGGGAGCAGTCCTCCAAGTGACAGATCTAAATGTTTGAAAAGATAACTGAATTTGACTGAATTTAGGTGAAAACTGCAATTTCTTCCAGATATTGGAGTGTTGAGACTAAAAAAAAAAAAGTCCAGTTTAAGAGAGAATTGAAAATGGCTTTTTTTGTATAACCGAATGTGTACCTTTAAAAAAATTTTTTTAATTTACTTTTTGAGAGAGACAGAACATGAATAGGGGAGGGGCACAGAGAGGGGGGGAGACACAGAATCTGAAGCAGGCTCCAGGATCCAAGCTTTCAGCCCAGAGCCCGACGTGGGGATCAAACTCACGAACTTTGAGATCATGACCTGAGCCGAAGTCAGACGCTTACCTGACAGAGCCACCCAGGCGCCACTCGAATGTGTAGCTTTGAGTTCTCTTTTCTGCTGTGGTAGGTAACACAGTGTCTGCGCAGTTATATTAATAAAGAGCTACAACTTTTAGGGCACCTGGCTGGCTCAGTGGGCACAGAATGAGACTCTGGATCTCTGATATGACTTCGAGCCCCATTTGGGTATAGAGTTTATTTAAAAACAAAACAAAACAAAACAAAAAAACTCAGCTACAGAAGTTCAAAATGTAGCTCATCTTAAGTTGCTAAGTGAACTAGTTTGTTAAAGAGACCTAGCCAGTAGCCCCATCTAGTGGCAGAAGTGTTAAGTGGCTACTTCTGTCATGAACAGTAAGAGCACTAATCTTGGTAAAATGAACTTTTTGGCCTCTTCCTCTCCATAAATGTCCAGGACTACAGTCACAAGCCGTGGCACGGCCTTCTAAAAGTAGAAGTTAGTTTTATGAAGGTTAGAACGATATTTTCACACCAAGGAACAAACTAGAAAATAAAAATATGTAAGAGAAATGTAGGGGGAGATATGCATTATTAGATTCAACAACAAAGATGTTGTTGTTCATGTCAAGTTAAGTCTTTCTATAAACGTAGCTTCTATCATAGTTCATCTGTTGGAATAACTCATTGTACTCGGTTGAATAGTGTCACCCAAAGTTCTAATTCCCATTCCTGTGAAGGGGATTTTGTTTAGAAACAAAGTATTTTGTAAATGTAACCAAGTGAAGATGAGGTCAGGATGGATTAGGTTGGGCCTGAAATAAAATGCTGGTGTCCCTGTAACAAGAGAAGGCACACAGGAAAAAAAAAAAAAAAAAACAAACACCTAAAGAAAGAGAAAAATGGGGCGCCTGGGTGGCTCAGGCGGTTAAGCGTCTGAGTTCGGCTCAGGTCATGATCTCATGGCTCATGAGTTCGAGCCCCGCGTCGGGCTCTGTGCTGACAGCTCAGAGCCTGGAGCCTGTTTCAGGTTCTGTGTCTCCCTCTCTCTCTGACC